GGGTGGGTGTGGTTGTGTGTGTGTGTGTGTGTGTTCGTATGTGTGTGTGTGTGTGTGAAATTATAAAAAAAAATATGTTATGACACGGATTCGAGTCAACGTGTACCTAAAAATGCAATTAGAGAGAGATGAGAATGAGAGAGAAATTTAGTTACATAAAGTGTAAGTGTCTTTCTTTTATGTGAAGTTTTACAATAAAGTTCAGCTGTGAGTGTCAATAAACACCTTGAAGCCTCTTTTTGGATGAAGTGAGCTCAATTTGAAAAGTGAGTTGATTACACTCGTATCCCAAGTTTGTGCTTTCAAGACAAAAGCAAAAAATCTGGTCAACTCAAGGCAGCACTTTGTGAAAAACAATCAAACGGCCAAACAACACCAACAAACTTCTGCATCAATTCAGAAATGTCTATTTTGTATGAAGAATAATCTCATTTATTGTGGCACCACTGCTCTGGTTGCCAATCCGCCAAGCTTGGCGAGGCTGGGCTAGGCTAGTGGTCGGTCGCAGTAGTTCTCCAGGTCAAAGATGTTGCACGGCTTGTGGCAGCACTGCTCCATGATGCCTCGCTTCATCAGCACCTCCATGTGGTCCTGGAAGCCCAGCTCCGGCGCCGCCGCCCTGTCGCCGCCCGTCGCCACGCCAACCTTTGGTGGGAGGAAACCTGGCCGCACGCACAAAGAAGCGCCGTCATGATGACATCACATAGGCCACAATGTCATCGTGTCACAAATAGCATGAACGTATAAATACCATGTGTGTGCATATACGTTGGTGTTGCGCGTGTATGGGTGTCTGACATCATCAACATCCCTGTTGCCGTGATGACACCAAGGCCACGGGGCGGGGTCTCACCCAGCAGGTGGTGCGCCTCCCTCTTGGGGTTGAAGATGAAGCCGCGGTCTCCGCACACCAGAATGAGGGCGTCCAGCAGATCAGAGCCGCACAGGTGCTGCGGGTCGGCGGCAGCGGGCTGGGACCCCGTCGCCAGGACCCGCCCGGTCCA